CTCTTGATAGCTCAGCTCAGATCATGATCTCGTGGTTTGTGAGATTGGGCCCTGTGTCAGGCTCTGCACTGACAATGTGGAGCCTACGTGGATTCTCTCTCTCCCTCTCCCTCTCTGCCCCTCCCCTGCTCATGCTTTCTCTCTCTCTAAAAACAAATAAATAAAGATCAAAAAAATACATCAGCCCCCAAATACAGTCTGTCCTCATTACTCACAGATTCTGTACTTTTTAATTCACCTACTCGCTAAAATTTATTTTGTGGTCACATGTGGACATGAGCAGAGGCTCAAACTGAGTTTCCGAGGCTCAGGTCCCCAGTTGAGGTCAGGCAAGGCGACACTTTGCTCTCCTGTTTTGACTCTCACACTATAAACAAGTATCATTTTCATGGTCTAGTTGGTGTCATATTTTTTATATTTTTGTGCATTTTGTAGATTCACGGTTTAAAACAGCCCCCAAGCACCGTGATAAAGTGTTGTCTCATCTTCCTGGCACAAGAAAGCGGAAATGTGCCTACAGAGAAAATATGTGGCTAGACCAGCTTCACTTAGGCATAAGTTAAGGTGCAGCTGGCCATGAGTTCAACGTTCATGAATCAAGACTATATATTAAACAGTATGTCATCAAATAGAAGTACGCATGAAACGAGGTCATGTATCCATCAGTAGATGGCAATGCTGTGACCAGAGGCTCACAAGGACCCTAAGCCTGGACTTCCCTGGGAACAGTGGGTCAGCACTTACTAGTTCAGTGCGGGCGGCGACCTTACAGAGCACAACGACTATGTGTGATGAGAATCGACTGTATCTTGTTGCAGACCAGACCTCTTCACAGAACTCCAGACTCATGTTCCAATCATCACCTCCTGGACCTTGCAAACTTTAACAAACCAAAGTCCGAACCCCTGGTCATATTTCTGCAGCCTGCTCTTTCCACAGACTTTTACATCTCAGGTAAAGGTAACAGCATCCTTCCAGAGTTTCAGGCCAAAAAATACCTTAGAATTATCATTGACTTCTCTCTCTCAAAGCCTACTTTTAATTTTTTCAGAAAATCTTCATGCAGTTACCTTCAAATTTTTTCTGGAATCTGACAGCTTCCACTCTGCCAACCTAGCCCAGTCCTCACTGTTTCTCACTTGAATAATTCCAGAGCCTTCTAACTAGTCTCCTTCCTTTTACCCTTGGCCCCGCCCGCACCCTGGCATCTCTCCTAATCCCTGTCTTCCTAGAAGAATCCTGGTATGGTCAGATCATGCCCTGCCCTGCCTCATAACCCTCCAATGACTCCCTGCCACCCTAAGAAAAAGCCATAGTCTTGACAATGACTTCTAAGTCCTGGTCTGCACGTGCTCTGCCTGTTAATTCTCTGCCTTCACCTTCTACGTCTCTCCTCTTTGTTCACCCCACTACTGTTGCTCCCCTACATACTGCTGCCTCAGGGCCTTTGCACCATCCTTGGATGCTCTTCCTCCAAATAACAACATGGCCAGCTCCCTCACTTCCATCAAACCTTGACCCCACTGTCACCCTCTTAGTGAGGGCTGCCTTGATTACTACATTTAAAATTGCCACTCCCTACACACACACACACACACACACACACACACACACACACACACACACACACACACGCTTTTCTTTCCTGCTTTATTTTTCTTCATAGCACTTAACAACATAAGATATTAATTAACAGACTTAGCTGTTTGCATATAGTCTGTATCCCTCTCACTCAAATATAAGTACCTTGATGGAGGGCAGGGACTTTTATCTGTTTTTCTTTTCTTATTTATTTTTGAGAGAGAAAGCATGAGCAGGGGAGTGGCAAAGAGAAGGAGACAGAGGATCCAAAGCAAGCTCTGTGCTGTCAGCAGTGAGCCCGATATGGGGCTCAAACTCAGAGACTATGAGATCATGACCTGGGCCAAAGTTGGATGCTCAACCCCACTGAGCCACCCAGGTGCCCCCTGTTTTTCTTTTTCTTTCGACTGATGCATCCCCAGTCCCTAGAACAGCAGCTAGGCACTAAATAAATAATCCTTGATGATGAATAATGTAGCACTTACCAGATATGATTCAATTTGCCTCTTTGCCCTCTGTCTCTCACAACACTGTGAGCGTTTTGAAGTCAGAAACTCTGCCCCTACCTATTCATACTCCTAACACCAAAACCACTGAGCACAGAATATAACAGGAACTTAATAAATGCATGCTGAGTGAATGGAAGAAGAGGAGACAGAGAGAAATGCTAATTTCTGTGAACCCTGGGTTTTACCAATTTAACAAACAACTGTGCAAAGATGATTAAGATAGTCCCTGCCCTAGAAAAACCTATGGTGAAGGGGGAAAGGGACACTAATACATATGGACCCTGATGCAGTGATGAAAAAGGGGGTCAGGAAAAGAACTAGGAAGACAAAAGAGAGAGTGGGTATTAGGAAAGCAACCAAAAGGGGGCAACATGTAAGCTGGGCTTTGATGGCTGAATAGGAGTTGGCCATGCAGACTGAGGGGCAGGGGAGGAAACAGCCCAAGCTGTGTTGCTCACTGCCCAAGGTACATCTACAGGTCATGAGCTTCCCCAGTGTAGCTCCTTTCTTGCTCTAAGCGGCATTCCTAGGCAGCTCAGGGCTCAACAAACATGAATGAGCAGAACCACTTTACATTTGCCCGGAGCTCCTCTACCCCCTCCCCACTGAAAGAAAACTCCATATCTGACAACAGAATTACTTGATGGACCCACTGGCCACCATTTAGGGCAGAAAGAGCAAAGGCCACATCTAAACATGGTTCCCAGCTCCCAGATGCGTCAGCATCTGACATCTAAGCAGAACCAGACCACTTGAATGACAGCCACTTAGCAGCCCAGAGAAAGTGCCATTCCTGGGTTCTGCCAAGACACGAAGAAGCAAAAATCCACTTAGAAAGTGCAAGAGCTTTCCAACATCAGAGCCAAATATGAGAACAGTGTGATGCGTATGTCAATGTGGACAGTTTTGCCGGAACATTTGAACTGCAGCCCGAGAACCAGCCTCCTGCAGGGGGGAAGTGAGGCAGCCATAGGGCCCAGGGCGGCGGACGTCGCAGCAGGTGGCAAAGCCATCCCAGCAAGGAGCCTGGACACTACAACCTCACAGGTCTCTTCATTTTCTGGTGTCTGGGATTCACCATGGTTGGAACAGGCTCTTCCTTCCCATCTTTGAAGAGAAACGAGAAGCACATCGTCTTCATTTTTATTTGTGGCCCGCCTGGCAGCCTGGACTGACCTGGACACGGTCCACATACACACCGTACGCACCCCTACTTCTGTCACACCCGATGCCCCTGGGGTACACACACGTGCTCCCGCGTGCATCTCACAGCACGGCCGTGATTCCGCGTCCCCCAGACGGGGTCCAGACGGCTCCTGTCGCATCCCTGCTCTGCCCCAGAACCGGAAATGCTCAGAGTGCCACCAATCTCATCAAGGCCTGCGCTGTGCCGGCTTCTCTGCGATCAGAAGAACCTCCCCTGCTCTGCACAGTGCACTCGCCCTCCCCGGGGGACATGATCCCTGTCTGTGACAGTTACACAGTCTCTGCCTCCTCCCCAGTCCGTTGCTTCCTGTTACTCTCCGTTCCCCTTAGCCTGCTCTCCTCTGAGCACTTTTGCCACTTTTGCAAATGAATCGGCTATGACGTAACACCCATGTTATGCCAGCACCTGAAGGGCCGGGAAGGGCCCCACAGGTCGTTTGGAGTTTCCCACAATGCTCTGGGGCCCAGGAGAGGACCGCTTTCCTCAGCCTGCCTGGGGCATCATGCGGTTGTGTCTAATACCAAATAGGAATGATGCCAGTCACAGAACATTCCCTCCCCTCTTGCAGGGCCAGCTTCCTGTTCTCATTAGGAAAAGCTATCATGGTTTGTACAACAGGAATTCAGCCTTGGTCTTTGGTTTCCAGAAGTCTTTTCCAACCCCGTTTGTTTTTTTTTTCCTCTTCTCAGACATTCCCAGTTTATACCCTTCTCCTAAGCTTTTCCTACTTTAGGGCTTTGGCACAAGTGGATGCTTCTGCCCGGAACACTCTGTCTCCTAACATTCCCAAGGCTTCCCCATGTTCAAGCAAATACCCAGGTCTCATTCCTGTGCCCTTAACCATCTTCGCCCCCTCCCCCATCCCCTTGCCACTCCGGTGCATGCCCCCATTTTATTTTCTCCACAGCACTTACCATGGCCTGAAACAACCCTGTTCTTTGTTTCTTTGTCTGTTGTCTGTGACTCCCAACTCAAATGTAAGCTTCATGAGGGCAGGCCTGCTGTCTGACTCATGCACAGCCTTCAGCCCAGTGCCCAGAACAGCAGTTGGTCCACAGTATGCACTTTAGTATACATTTGCTGAATGAATGCATTCATGTAAATCAAAGTCTCAACAACACAAACAAAGGTGCCGATGGCCTTTCTCCAGGTCCCCAGAAAACACAAGATGATTCTCAGTATACAAGTGTTCAGCTCTCCGTGGCCTTTTCTGCGCTCTGTATGTTTGGGGTTCTGGTTTTAGGACAGACTTTAATTCTTGGCTTCTCCAGGACAGATGAGGACAGGCCACTTCAAGAGAGCGACTTTGACAAGGCATGAGCCAGATTCTTCCTATCAATATTCTCTTTCTGGCCGCTTCTATCTCAACATTTGACATGTTCTGTTTGTGTTTGCACCTCATTGTTATCTCAGTGTCTCACTGTAAATCATTTGAAAACACAGATATGTATGCAATATTTCTGGCATCAGAACCGGGAACTCATCCAATCAACTCCTGGCCTCCACCCAGGCCCACACCCCAATTAGACAGGATTTCTGCCCAACTATCAAAAGGTTTCAAGGGAAATTACTTCTAACTTGTTCCAATGTCTCTTAGCATTTTTATTTTCCCCTTAAGGGGAATAAAGGCAGCTGTGATCATGAGCCAGGACCAAAGCGCTCATGATGGAAGAAGCGGATGTGGACACACACAGTGTGCTTACCAACGTAACCCGGGGTTCCACAGGCTGTGGACATCACATCTCCTTTGCCCTCCATTTTTGACAATCCGAAGTCACTGATCATTATTTTGGATTCCTCGTCTTGACTGTAGTATAATAGGTTTTCAGGCTAGAGATAAAATAAGAAAGAAACACTGACAAAGTGTGTTTAAAGCCAGGTTAATTGTGGGCGACTCACCGAGTCACAAAACCTAATCACAATTTAAGGATATCCTTGACCTTGAGCATAGTGAATGCATTAAGAAAAGCACTGTTTAGGGGCGCCTGCGTGGCTCAGTCAGTTAAGCGTCTGACTTTGGCTCAGGTTCGTGGGTTTGAACCCTGTGTCAGGCTCTGTGCTGACAGTAGCTCAGAGCCTGGAGCTTGTTTTGGATTCTGTATCTCCCCCTCTCTCTGACCCTCTCCTGTTCATGCTCTGTCTCTCTCTCAGAAATAAATTAAAAGAAAGAAAGAGAGAGAGAGAGAGAAAGAAAGAGGAGAGAGAGAAAGAAAGAAAGAAAGAGAAAGAAGGAAAGAAAGAAAGAAAAAGAAGAAAGAAAGAAAAGAAAGAAAGAAAGAAAGAAAGAAAGAAAGAAAGAAAGAAAGAAAGAAAGAAAAAGAAAGAAAGTAAGGAAGGAAGGAAGGAAGGAAGGAAGGAAGGAAGGAAGGAAGGAAGGAAGGAAGGAAGAAAGAAAAGCACTGTTTAATGGGAGCAATGGAAGGGACACCACTCAGTTTTGGCATTTAAAGGTTTTCAAGAAATGCGAATCCCTTTGTCTACTTTCAAAAAGTGAACCATATACTGGGGCCACCTAGAAAGCCTCTCAGACCTATCTATTTCTTGGGGGAGGGGAAAGGGGATTCCCAGAAATGAAGTTAAATTCTGCAGGTGCTCTTCCGTTCCCTTGTTTGTTCATTCTTTTCTCTCTCTCTCTCTCTCTCTTTCTTTCTTTCTGTCTGTCTGTCTTTCTCTCTTTCTCTCTCTCTCTTTCTTTAATGTTTATTTATTTTTAAGAGGGAGAAAGAGACAGTGTGGGCAGGGGAGGGGCAGAGAGCGAGGGAGACATAGGATCTGAAGCAGGTTCCAGGCTCTGAGCTGTCAGCGCAGAGCCTGATGTGAGACTCCAACCCACGAACCATGAGATCATGACCTGAACTTAAGTTGGAAGCTTAACCAACTGAGCCACCCAGGCTTCGCCTCCCCAGCCCTCCACCCTGTTTCCTTTTTCTGACTCTGTTAGCAACCTTTCTTGAACCCAAGTCTCTCTCCCTGTCCTTGGTAACCTCCTGTGTCCTGAAGTTCCGGTGGATGCACTGTGCTTTCCCCTTTACTGAGCCAGCTGATCCCTGCTCATTGGCTCCCTGGGAAATAGGGGAATGTCATCATGGATGAGTCGCGTCCAGAGATCTAGAACTTTGCAGCCACGTGTCCTTAAGTACCCTGAGTTTCGTTTGCCTTTTCTGGAACACATGGGTCATGGTGGTTCCACGTTTGCTTCCCTGAACGGGACATGATGGAGCTCAGCTGGTAGTAAGTCAGGACACACGGGTGAGGCCTGACCACAGCTCCTGTCTCTACCACAGTCCTGAACAACAGGGGTACCTCCATGGCAGCTACATGGGAGGAGTGAGGGGAGGCAGTCAGGGGTGGAGTAGGGAGGTGATGAAGCTTTACTTGCATTGCTGTTTTATGAAAAGTTGAGGTATCATTCTGAACAACAACAACAAAAAAAAGGTGGAGTTTCTGAAGATCAAGGGAGAGGTCCCAGCCTCAGGGCCATGCTGTCCTGGGGCAGAGCCTGACCACAGAAGGGCTGCCTCAGTTAATGATGTTGTCCTTGAGGGACACAATGTTGAAGACTAACACATCTCCTTTCCCCAACCTCAGAAAATTCCGAAGATTTGCCTAGTGAAGAAGTGACCACTTCTCTGATTTATGTTAAGCCTTAAAAGAAACACAACAGGGGCACCTGGGTGGCTCAGCCAGTTAAGTGTCCAGCTTCAGCTTAGGTCATGATCTCTCAGTTTGTGGGTTCAAGCTCTGCATCAGGCTCTGTGCTGACAGCTCAGAGCCGGGAGCCTGCTTCGGATTCTGCTTCTCCCTCTCCCTCTGCCCCTCCCCTACATGAACTCTGTCTCTCTAGCTCTGTCTAGCTCTCTCTCAAAAATAAATATTAAAAAAAATAAAAAAGAAACACAACAGGGGGCACCTGGGTGGCTCAGTCACTTAACATCCAGCTCTTGATTCCGGCTCAGGTCATGACCTCGCAGTCCGTGGGATCGAGCCCCACGTTAGGCTCTGTGCTGACAGTAGGGAACCTGCTTGGGATTCTCTCTCTCCATCTTTCTCTGCCCCTTCCCCACTCACACACTCTCTTTCTCTCTCCCAAAATAAATAAACACTAAAAAAATTTTTAAAAACACAACAGGAGGACTCTGAATGGGGCAAGTCACTTCCCCTCAGTTTCCTGTCTGTCTCTCCTCCCATCTCCCCAAGAATGGATGAAGCAAGAGCGTCTCTTGTCAGTGGTCTGTGGTGCATCTTTGGTTCCTTGAGCATTGAATTTCACCAGCTATCCTCTCATCCGGTAGCAAGGGCTGTTTAGAGAAGTGGCTCTCAGCCTGGCTTCCTAGCAGCATCTCCTGTTACAGCGCCCAGTGCCTGCAAGTCTTCAGTAGATTTGAGATGGGCCTGGGCTCTGGATTACAGAATTCACGGGGTGATTCTGACGTGCAACCATTTCTGTGAGGACATTCTGAGAGGTGCTCAAGACCCCCCTCCCTTGACCAAACTATAGCCAGGCTCCTCTGAACCCTCTTCTAGGCCTTGATCTTGGCCTTCTGTGTCCTTCCTATCTCGCTGGGGCTGCATTGTCCAGTCTTGGCAAGAATCCTGCTATGTCAGTGTAGAGAGAATCCCTCACTCTTGATATCTGGCCAAGCTCTTCACCTCCCACCTTGGATGTTGTTAAAGAAAATTTGTTCAGCCACTTGGTAAAGACAGTAAGGAAGACTTTATTCAGGGGGACCACTGCAAGGGGGTTCGGCCGTAGAAGAAGAAGAGTGGACTCAAGACCTAACACAACAGGGACAAATGGAGATTTATAGCTGAGGAGCAGGGTGAGGGTCAGTGACTAGAAAATTACTAAGAGGTGGGGCACCTGGGTAGCTCAGTAGGTTAAGCACTGACTTCGGCTCAGGTCATGAGCTCATGGTTTGTAGGTTTAAGCCCTGCATTGGGCTCTGTGCTGACAGCTCAGGGTCTGGGGCCTGCTTTCAACCCTGTATCTCCCTCTCTGCCTCTCCCTTGCTCATGCTATGTCTGTCTGTCTCTCAAAAATAAACATTAAAAAAATTAAAAAAAGAAAATTACAAGGAGGGGGACATCAAGGGTGGGGGTACTCTGGGTACACCAATTTCAGAGCACCCCTGCTGAAGGCAGGCCAGGATGGGCAGACAGGGAAAGTGGATGATAAAGAATCTGTTCAGATATCAAGGGTAGGGGATGTTCACTGAAGTGGCTCAGTGGGATTCTTTTCTTTCCTTTTTCTTAATATTTATTTATTTTTGAGAGAGCGCAAGCAAGGGGGGGGGGGAGAGAGTGGAGACAGAAGATCCGAACTGGGCTCTGCGCTGACAGGCTGACAGCATTTAGCCCAATATGAGGCTTGAACTCACTAACTGAGAGATCATGACCTGAACTGAAGCCAGACGCTCAACCGACTGAGCCTCCCAGGCGCCTGGGCTCATTGGGATTCTTGCTCAGCCTGGACTACGTGGGCAGAGCCAGTGGACTAAGGACAGAGCCCAAGGATGGAATCTGATCAGAAAGAAGACTTGGAGGGGCCCAATTAAAGTTTGCTCAATGGAGAGAGTCTGCCAGTGTCCAAGTTCTTGGCAAGGCTTTAGGAAGAATCCCCCCATCCTGGATGTCACCTTTTAGTACTTTTCTATCCACAACCCTCATTCTGCTCAATGGCTATAAATTCCCACATGTCCTTGATGATTTTGGAGTTGAACCCAATTCTCTCCTCTACTGTGATACTCTTCTTGCAGTAGTCTTAAATACAGTCTTCTTTACTTTAACAAGTGTCAAAATAACTTTAACAGAACCCAAAAGAAAAAAATACTACCCTTCACCTAAAATCATAACACAAAAAGGAATGGCAGTTTGCATTCACAGTGACGTTAATTCTGTGGATGAAGCATGAGATTAGAAGAAAATCAAATGCATGCTTCAGAGTGCTTTCAAAAGTCTGGAAAGAATAAAATGGGCTGACCAATAATCAAAATAAGAATAATGCTTAAAAAGCGGGGCAAAATAATCTAATCAAAAGGTGCATGTGGTTCATGATTTCTCTGAATGTTGAGATCATCCTTTGATGAACAGTAAGGATCTGATCATAGGGGCAGAGAGGACTCTTCTTAACTTTCTGATTTTTTTTGTTTTCTTTTCTTTTTTTTAGTTTATTTGTTTTGACAGAGGGAGAGCACACACACATGTGTGCATGTGCATGCAAGTTGGGGGAGTGGTAGAGAGAAGGGAGAGAGAACTCTAAGCAGCCTCCACAATGTCAGTGTGGGGCTCCATCTCATGAACCATGAGATCATGACCTGAACCAAAATCAAGAATCAGATGCTTAACTGACTGAGGCACCCAGATGCCCCTTAAGTTTCTCACTTTTAATCTTCCTATCCCAATGATCTCATGCTCTTAAGCAAGGTTGCATCTAGGCAAGAGATTGCCACAAAGCCAAATCTCCCTCTTTTGGGTCAATTACCAAGGAGGGTTGAATTGACTGGCCATTCACAACTTAGATCAATACTTGTCTATAACCATCTCGAGACTCAGTAAAGACAACAGGGCTTTTCTTGAGGGGAGTCAGGCAACAGGAAAGTGGGAGAGAAGACAGGCTCATGGGCAAGCCAGATGGAGGCCCCCAGGTGAGAGCTGGAGGGCTCGGTCAGGTGGGAGGCACAGAGGGGATTTCACAGTTCTGCCCGAGATCCCAAGAGGCCCAGGATTCACCTTAAAAAAATATTATTCTTTATTTTGTGACATCTTTGCAAGACAACTGGTGGCCAATACTGGAATTGGAAGGTCAATACCAACCCTTTAATAGTTCGCATAATGAGAGAGGCACCTGGGCGGCTCGGTCTGACTCTTGGTTTTGGCTCAGGTCATGATCTCAAGATTCATGAGTTCGACAACCACATCAGAGTCCATGCTGATAGTGCAGAGCCTGCTTGGGATTCTCTCCCTCCCTCTCTCTCTCACCCTCCCCTGCTGTGCTCTCTCTCTCTCTCTCAAAATAATTAAACTTTAAAAAAAGTTCACATAACAAGCTTTTATTTTTTAGTTTTATTTTTTAATGCTTATTCACTTTTGAGAGAGAGAGAGAGAGAAGAGAGAGAGAGAAACAGAGCATGGTGGTGGGGGAGCAGAGAGAGAGAGATGGACACAGAATCTGAACCAGGCTCCAGGCTCTGAGCTGTCATCACAAAGCCTGACGTGGGGCTCAGTCTCAAGAACTGTGAGATCATGACCTGAGCCGAAGTTGGAACGCTTAACCAACGGAGTCACCCAGGCGCCCCAACAATCTCTTAAAAGATCTGAATCAACACTTCCTACAAAGTTAATATTATACACAATCACATTCCTAATCCAGTGATTCTCAACTGGGGGCAATTTGGCAATGTCTTTGGTTGTCATAACAGCAGGAGTCTATGGGCATCTAGTGGGTAGTGGTCAGGGATGTGGTTAAACATCTAACAATGCATAGAACAGCCCCCACAGCAAAGGACATACTGCAGGGGCTGAGAAGCCCTGCCTAATCTGAGGGGTCAGTAGTGGGCACTTCCTGTCTCAGTCCCTCATTATCTTTAGTAGCTTCCTGGGGCAAGAAGACACAAGAATACCTTTCTGGAGGGAGGAGGAGGTATACTGGCAGGTGGGGGTGTGGCAGTAACCCAGACTGTGACCTAATCTTAAATTAACCTGATTCTGTTCTCTATTGCTCTGACCTAGATCATACAGTTCGTTTTCATTTTCTAAGAGGTTTGCGAAAATTTACTATCCCCATCCCAACTCCTGCCATGCAGATCAAACTCCCTTGTGCCTCTGAAAAGCAATGACAAATGGTCCTAACACGGCACTGTTCTCTCCACAGGCACACGCCTGGCGGTTTTACATCTGCACAGTCTGGGAGCTACAAGCACTTTTCTGAAAGCGCCATGTGGGCGTAGACAGCAGTAACTCCTGCACAGCCCATCTGCCTTTGGAAGGAGGAATAAATGCAGTCACGCATAGCATGGCCCCTCTAGGAATGTTAACTACGTGGGAATTATTTCTATAGAGTACACACAGCCAGCCTATTGCACCACACCTCTGTGGTCACCACACTAACTTGTTTAGAGAGCTGCCTCCCATACTCTGGAAGCAGAAAATCGGCATTTTGTGAGGGAACAAGAGAGCAGAGCAGGCAGAGAGGGGCCAAGTAAGCTTAGTGAGCCCTTACTTAGCTCTGGAAAGGACCTCCGGGTCCTGAAGATTAGCTAATTGTGCTCATGGCCCATGTCAGCCGTCAAGGAGGCTGCAAAGGGCAAAGGCTATAAGGACCCCATCAATGTTCACAAACACTCTTGTCTGGCAGTTCTCCAAGCGTAATCCCAGGGCAACATCAGGGTCACCTGTAAATCCCTTAGAAATGCATGTTCATGGCCCCACTGCAGACCTACAGAATCAGAACCTCTGGGGTCGAGCAAGCAATGGCTCTCCAGACAATTCTGATGCAGGCTAACACTTGGGAACTGCTATTCCGGTTGCTGGAAACTGATACAGAGACAAGGAGAAGACTTTACCGTGAGACTTTATGAAGAGAAAAGCTCCATCATGTTATACCTTCACCCCCAGTACCAGATAACAGGCAGATGCTGAAATTCTATTTTAACAAATGTGTATGGTTTGTTCTTTAAATTGATCTAGATTTCACACAGTCACGCATAGCATGGCTTCAGTACAATATAATCCCTGTTTATGATATGAGAGGCAGGTATGTGGGCTGGGGTGGAGCTCCTATCTTGACCGGTGCAGTGAGCCGTGGAGCCTGGACCTGTGTCCACGGTTGAGTGAATCCACATTACAGCCTTGGTGAGCAATGTGGCTTTTTGCTGTTCCTCACATCAATGTGTTCGATTTCTACTCTTGATAGCAGATGTTGGATACCTGCCCTTTGGTATTTATACTGGCCTGGGGAGGGATGTAATGCCAAGATGCCCAAGTAAAGCCCAGGTCCTTCAGTGCTATTGGGTGAAGGGTCAGTATGCCAACACCTCATCAAGAACAAGAAAGACTGGGACACCTGGGTGGCTCAGTCAGTTAAGCATCCAACTTCAGCTCAAGTCATGATCTCCCAGTTAGTGAGTTTGAGGCCCTCATTGGGCTCTCTGCTATCAGTACAGAGCCCACTTCAGATTCTCTGTCCCCCTCCAACCCACTCCTCCCTCGTTCTATCTCTCTCTAAAATAAATAAACATTAAAATAATCTTTGATTAAAAAGAAAAAGAACAGGTGAGCCTGTGACCTATAGGACGCTGGGGGACAGCGGTGATTGTAGGTCGTTTAACCTGACTTTCCCAATAACCTTCCATTTCCCTTCTCATGTCATGCCCTCTACTTGCTCACTTTTTTTCAAACAGTGTGTTGTGCTGAAATGGGGGTGGAACTGGTAAAACAGTGAAAAACTGCATTGGGAGAAGGGTTATCATGGCCAATGTGTTCTGAACAAAATTACCTTTCAGATATGCTTGAAGCAATACACAGCCTGCCTCCCCATGGCTCTGGCTGCAGAGGGGTTATAAAATCTCCCAAATGATGGCCAGCCCCATTGATCTTCATCATCTCTAAAGCTATCTCTGGCTCCCAATGGCCCTGACAACAAACAGAACACAAATGCCTACCATTCATTCTACCCATAGCTCCATCAAGGCAACCTCAGCCATCTTCTGGAGCCAGTCCCTTGGACAGGTGCATTGTGGGTAGGAGAGCGGCTGGAGAATGTTGCTAGGCAACTGCCTTACCTTGAGGTCCCTGTGGACAATGCCCATTCTATGGAGATAGTAGACGGCATCCAAGACCTGGCGGATGAGAGTGCTGGCATCTTTCTCTGTGTAAAATCCTTTCTCCACTATCCGATCAAACAGCTCTCCACCGGATACACTGTTTTTTAAAAAATAACAAATAAGAAGTTTGAGAGGACCGGTTAAATTGTTCAGGGAAAGCCATCATTAAGAGATGTCAATACGACAGAAGAACCAAATTGATTTCCAAAATAAATTCATTTTGGGCCCCATCTAGATTTATGTTTGGCCCCATCTATGCCCCAGAAGCTATACCAGGGAAGTATTTCTATGTCATGATGGTATGAGTATCCAGAATGAAATAAAGGGAATAAAAAGAAACCAGAACCCATGGACTCGCCAGGCTTGAAAAGTCTTCTGGCCTTTGCATCCATCCTGCTATGACAATGTAAAGTCAGAATAATTTTCCAGAATATTGGTATCATCAGATGTAGAGGGATGATGGGTAGGATGCCTCCTTTGCATAAGAGAATATCCTTAAAGGTCTGGAGGGGTAGGGAGTACAGGGGGCAGTGCTGTAGGCAAAGCAGTGAACAGCCAACAGGGTGTTTGGGTTCTTGACCAAGTTTTGCTCTTAATATGCTGAAGGCATGGGTATTCCTTGAATCTTTGGACCTCAGTCTTTTAATCCATAAAATAAGGGGGTTAATCTAGTCAACCATATCCCACATTGGACCTGAAAGGCAATTGTGATTTACAAGAAAAGAAAGAAGAAAGACACCCCATTATATCATCTGCACTGGTTTTTTGGTAACACCATTTAATATTAATTTGCTTTCAATTTCACATTGCACTTAATGTTTTCTTAATGCTTGTTATGTACTGCCTAGGTTGGCAAAGGTCAAAATGCCCTGTGGGCAATTCTTATAGCTCCTTTCAGCTCTGAGAGTTAATGCTGCTCTGAGTTTAACAAAGTAACAGAACTGTACGATTCTGAGTAGGAACAATTTATTGCTTTAGCCTTCAGATTCTTAGAACATATGCTTCTCTAAGAAAAACAGGGCTTCTTTCAGAGAATTAAGCCATCTTGAATATTAGCTTCAAGGGATATCTTAATACTATTCTCTTTTATAAAAAGAAACAGAATTTCCAAAAACAAAATGAAGACTTATTTGAAATACTAAACTCATAAAACAGTTTCACAAACAACTTTTACAGCTTTAGTAGATACAGTAAAAGCCGTGCCCTAGCAGTTAACACACCCACACATACACAAACACAGGAAGGTAGGATTCATTTTCTTCTGCAAGTCATGACAACTAATGTGCAATATCTGATCCACCAAAGCCTTCCTCTTAAGAAGCCAATAAAGAAAACCAATTGTGGCTATAAAAGGCCTACATGTTCGAGTCTCTCACATGACCTAGTCATCCTAAGCGTTGTTATGCTTGGATAACGTCTTGTTTCCAAAGCAAACTGAGCAATCGAGATAAGAAAAGAAAAGACGCTTGGGAGAAATAAGAAGCAATTCAAAGAGTGAAAAGAAATGGAAACATCAGGGAAGAAACTACCTTTTGATGACCAGGTTGTCCAAATGATCCATCCTTAAGGAAACTAAAATCCCAGGACATCCCTTCTCAGCAGCTAGACATCAAGCTTTCCCCAGTCTTCGTGTTTCTAGACCATTCTTGGAATGAGTTTCCTCGGAAGAGGTCTGGAGACCTTGAGAATGTACTATGGAAGAAGCCTGGCTGCCAGGGCAAGGGGGAGCTTGGGCACATGCACTTGGAGACATTCACTTCAGTTGATGATCTGTTCAAGAATTCATTTAAGATGTACTGGGTGCCCCTATGTGCCCCCTACTGTGCACAGCAGATGCCAATCAAGGCAGCACAAGCTGTGAAGAAGCAAATGTCTGTTTTGATCGTGCCCTTCCTCATTCTCCACCACTGGCCTACCTTCCAATAATGGCACCCCTTACAAACATTCCAGTGCTTTCTTACCACTGGTCTCTGTGCTGCTCACATCCTCTGCTCTACAGGCTATGGAAGACCTCAGGCAAGAATGCAGACCCCTTTCTCTACCCCTGCCTTCCACCCTTAGTACCCTATGACCCACCTTTGCCAGATTCTCTCCCTTCTTCAAAACTGATCTTTCCTGCTTCTCATTCTTTCAGAGTCCGCTTTTCTCCAATGTGATAAACAAGATATTAATGGATGCTATTGTATCAAAAACTTGCACCCTAATAGGGCAGCCATGCAGTAAGAATCGAAGCTTCAGAGTTGAAGGGTAAGGTCTGGCTGTAGCAGGTACTGTCGCAGTCTCAATGCTCTGCACGTTTGCTATTTTACTTCTGAAAGTTCAAACAGTACCAGGGCTTCGTCGTTCTGAACATTGCTCAGAAAGTATTTGGTTTCCTTAGAAACCAAGGCACAGGGGAGAAGTCTAAAAACTTGCCAAAACATAACGATACTCATAAAAATGCTTTAAATTGTGCAAATCACTTTATACTTTTCAAAAGTCTCCTTTGGCATACACTTCAAATGGATAGAGTTATGGACTGGATGTTTATGCCCACCCCACCCCCCGTATTCATATGTCAAATCTGTACCCCCCGAAGTGTGATGGTACTTGGAGATGGGAGCCTTTGGCAGGTATTTAGTTTAGATGAGGTCGTGAGAGTGGGCACCCAAGATGGGATCAGCATCTTTATGAGAACAGAAACCAGAAAGCCCAGTCCAGTTCTCTCCCCTCTTTTCCCTCTCTCTCTCTCTCTCTGCCATGTGAGGACACAGCAAGGAGAAAGCCATCTGCAAGTCAGAAAGAGAGTCCTTAAAAGGAACCAAATCAGTTGGCACCTTGAGCTTAGATATGTCAGACTCCAGAACCGTGAGAAATACATGTCTATCATTTACACTGCCCTGTTTCTGGTATTTTGTTATGGCAGACTGAGCTAAGACACCCAGTCATTTTGAAAACCATTTTTGGACAACCAGAATCCCAGAATCACTGATGGGGAAATAAGTTTGGAAGAGTGGTGAGGGGTGTGTCTCATTTCCAAGCCCACGGATCACGAGGGCGTCGGGTGAGGGGCTGCTGAGCTGACTGACAGGTCACTTTCTTGAATCAATATCCTTCTCTGGCAAGTTTCCCAAGTGCAAGGCTTAAAGCTCCACGTTAGAAACGGAATTCCCCAACGAAAGCATGTCAAGCATCAGAATGGAGTTAGAAGGGGAACAGTCAGGTGATTGGGAAAAAGGAGTAGGACAATCATGACCAATCAACAAATAAAATTAATTAATGGTGGCTCTGAGAGAGAGGTTCATTGGGGAGTGTAGATGTAGAAAGAAACTGGCTATTAGAAATTAAGGGAATGGAAAGATATCATTCAAAAATATCTTCTCAATTTAAACTTTGACATTAATTAATTAATTAATTTTTATTTTTAAAGGTTTACTTATTTATTTATTTTGAGAGAGGCAGAGAGACAAAGAACCCCAAGTAGGCTCCATGTTGTCAGCACGGAGCCTGACACGGGGCTCGATTTCTCGATTTCACAAACGGTGGGATCATGACCTAAACTGAAACCTACAGTCTGATGCTTAACCGACTGAGCCGCCCAGGCACCCCATAAATGTTGACATTAATTTACAGCAACCCGCCTTTGCACTGAACTTGGATTTGCTCAGTCTCTGATCTTCCCTCCCTATTACATTATACCACTATCACTGCATGTGAATTTTAAGCATACAAATGTGAAATATTTTGATGTCAAAATCTCAACAAAATTCAGATTATTTGGAAAATTTTAAGTAATGTAAATCTCCTCAAATTAAAAAGTCATTGTCAAGAAACATAATTTTAAAGCTGCTGGGTCAAGTACACTGCAAGTTCTGATTCCCCTGTGGCATACAGCGATGTAGCCTAGTCAGCGTATCATGCTCTTTTGTTAGTACCTGGTAGACTGTGCTGTTCTTTACGTGCACTTAAACTTCTCCATGCAGTTTCCACAGATGTTATCCTGTTGTTTTAAAATTCACTGCTAATTTTAATTTAAAATGCTTTTTAAAAAAATCTTATAACCAAATCTACACGTTTGTTAAATGACAGTACTTGTGCTAAGGCTGAAAACTGGGCTCCAGAAACCTATTCTTCTAGAAGTTAGGTATAATAAAATATGAGGAAGGCTGAAGGAAACCAGAATATGTCACCCCCAAACCTGCCTCCTCGCCATAACATTTATTTTGAGCTGAGAGCAATTAAGCAGTAGATGTAGGAAAAAGTTTCCCCTTTTTGGTCTAAAGGCAAGAAATAAGGTCTCCTTTTATTGGAGACAGACTCTGCACCAGAGGAATATGCCAACAAACTTCACTCAACTTCTCCCAGGTCTCTTTACCATTTAGTACCCCCAGCTCAAACTCCTTTGCTCCTGTCAATTCTTCACAAATGTACTATTTGTATAAAAGGTTATAAAAGCTTGAGGCTCTCATCATTCCCCCAGGTCTTCATTCTCTGGTGAAGGATCTCAAGTACCTGCAAAACTTCATTAACAGGTGTCTGCTTTCCTCCTGCTAATCTTTCTTTGTCAGGTTTAATCTTCAGAGCTAGCCAGGGACCCTATGAGGGTCAAAGAAAACTTTTTCTCCATCTCAAAATTCAAATAGTATAGAACTATGCTGTTAATTTTAGAGAGGGGTCTGAGAAATATTAGCCATAATGCTAAGATCATTAAAAAACAGTGTTATAGCAAATATGCCTGGAAATTCACAAAGACTGTCACCTAATTAGGCAGTGACCATGGAAAGGAGCCAGGGCCATGGTTACAAAGCAATATGGCCTTTGTGTGCCCCAGAGCAAGGCCAGTTATAAATGTGTATCCCCAGAACCATTCTCCCCCCATTCATATTTAGTCCTAAGAAGAAGGTAGTCTTGAAATAAACAGGCTGTGATTGAGAGAGGCTAGAAGCAAAGCGTTTTTCAACCGTGAGACCCCAAGGTCCAGATGGTAGATGTGTATTTTTTCACCCAGCCAGGGGAAAGAAAGGGCCTATCTTCCGGGCCCTTGGCTCGGTGGTCCCTGGGATTTCCTGACTCCCCCACACGGGGCAGCCATCCGGCTCCTGGGCCTGTGTTCTTAATCGTCACCATATCCCTTGGCTTTGGTACCCACATATCCTGCTCCTGGGGAGACTCTCACAGCCACTCTGGGAAGATTAAGGGTTTATTTCATGCAACCTCTCCTCTCCATATTTCCCCCTTCGACAAATCCCACTTTAATAATGAAAACATCTTTTTTTTTTTTCATAGAATTCAGTTTCCCAATATCTTCCTGGCTCAATCTGTTCAGAAAATTCCAAAACACAAACACATGCCTCTCCATCTTCATGGACCGGATCAGTGTAACTCCTTTGGGGCCATTACACTTGGGTTCTAGCCATTTTGCCTTCTCACTGTCAGGGTGTTATGTACTGACTTGTAGTCTACTGCCCAACTTCAGATGTGCACATCCTAGCCCCCAGTATATCTCAGAAGGTGACTGTATTTGGAGGTGGGGTCTTTAAAGAGATAAGAAAAGTTAAATGAGGTCATATGGTCCTTATGAGAGAGAGAGAAAGAGGGAGAGGGTGCAGATTATGAGCACACAGTGACAAGACTATGTGGACACATGGTAAGAAGGTGGCTATAAGCCAAGGAGAGAGGCCTTCAGAAAACACAAATCTGCCAAGACCCTGATCTCAGACTCCCAGCCTCCAAAACTGTGAGAAACTTAATTTTTGCTGTTTAAGCCCCCTAGTCTGTAGTATTTTTGTTATAGCATCCCTAGCAAACTGATAGACTGGGGAATATAAAGGATATCCCATAATCATGCTGGGACATTTCTTCAAATTTTTTTCAAGATTAATAGGTGGGGGGGAGGGGCAGTTTATCCTACTGTATTTGCATTCTATGCTTTGTTTATGCACCAAATCATCTTTCATCAAACCAGATGATATGTTATCGCTGTTTCCAAGGGGCACAGAGGCGAGTGTGACTGGGGTGCAAACTGAGGTACACAGACAAGTAAAGCACAGTGTAGATGGTTCCGACATGGTGGGGTGGGGGTGATGAGTGTGCTTTGGAAAATCACAGAAAGACACGTAGAAGGGTCTGAGGGAGAGGGCAGAAAAAGGAGAATCTGGGCTGTCTTAAAGGAGGGGTGATATTTAGTCCAGTGGAGAAAACCCCAGGGGGCAGGCAGACCCCAGTAGTTTGAATTATCATGAAAGGAGTCTTTGGTGAACTAAGTGTCTTTGGAGGAATTACAATCAGTGAAGGAAGTGTTGACTGAGCGCTTCCTCTAAGCCCAGCACTTGGCCTGCAGTGTGAGTCTGTATCTGGGGAGATACAGAAACCCAGGTTGACAAGTCAGACCACCAGCGAGCAAGGACTTGCCAAGCCATGACCCTGGCTGGATGACCACAGGACATTGCAGTGGGGAGAGATCGATAATTACAAGAGGTGGCCTGCAGGTCAGGTCCTCACTTCCCTTCTGCCTCTGGAGGCCAGCACAGTGCTCTCTGCACTGCAGAAAAAGGATTCCCGGAGGCAGGGCAGATAGGAGAG